GTTTGGTGTTATTAAAACAATGTCATCAGCAAAGCGGAGGTGGTGTAGTTGCCGACCATCTATCTTCACTCCCATTCCTTCCCATTCCAGTCGTCGCATGATGTTCTCGAGGGTGGCACTGAAGAGTTTTGGTGAAATGGTATCACCCTGCCGCACCCCTCTCTTGACATCAACGATCACTTCTTTGTAGAATGGTGAGATCCTGGTAGTGAATCCGCAATACAGCTCACGGAGGATCCTGATGTATTGGGCTTGAATGCCCTGATTGGCTAGGGCTTCAATGACTGCTTCCGTCTCAACAGAATCAAAGGCCTTCTTTAAATCAATGAACGTTAAGCAGAGCGGCATCTTGAACTCCCGAGAAACCTCAATGAGTTTGGTTATCGTGTGGATATGGTCGATGGTGCTGAATCCTTTGCGGAACCCTGCTTGCTCACATGGTTGTCCTTCATCTAGTGTTCTGCCAATCCTATTCAGGATGACTCGAGTGAACAACTTGTAGATGACAGACAATAGGCAGATCGGGCGATAGTTGCCAATGTCATGGATGTCTCCCTTCTTGAACAGTAGTACGGTCCTGCTGGTTTTCCATTGAGATGGAACCTTGCATTCAGACAGGTAGCAAGTGAAGAGCCGAGCCAGTGTATTGATGAGTACTGACGGCAGGTTCTTCAGGTGTTCAGGTCTGACCTTGTCTGGGCCGGGTGCTGTTTGCTTCTTTACTGACGAAATGGCGTGTCGGATTTCGGAAGGGAGAACGTTGGGAACGACATACCCATCCTGTGGAATTTGGTATGTCGTCAAGTGGACATGGCTATCGAAGAGATTTGAGTAGAAGTCATGGATAATCTTCTCCATTGCCGTTCTGGAGGATGTGATGGATCCATCAGGACGTCGGAGGGCAGTCATCTTGGTCTTATAGTTGGCGAAGGACAGGCGGGCGTTACGAATACTTTTCCCGGCTTCTGCCGCATCTACCAGTACTTCTGCTCTTCTCTCTTTGAGGTCTTCCTTGATCGCATCTCTGCACTGCTTTGCAAGCTCGGACGTTAGCTTGCGGTTGCCTGAGGCATGCGCCAAACCACGCTGGCGAATTAGCTCAAGAGTTTTCGAAGATAGGCGACTTTTTGTGGCTATCTCTCTCTTGGCGTTCCTCGCACATTCATGGAGGTGCTGAACCAGTCACTACCAGTCACACCAGACACTACTTCCACTACCCAGCCGTCGCCACACTCCAGGACGCTTTCCGGACCCGCGCGGCAGCTCCGGCCGAGACCCACGCACAACTGAAGACCCACAGAACAAGGTAAGCGGAACTCTCTGAGACCTTGGACTCCAGGCTCGGCGGACCCAGGGACAGAGCTTCTCTGCTTGCTCCCACCACCACAGGTGACAAAGGGATTCTAATCAGGAGCCCCACCCTACCCTGCCCTGTCTGCTTCCATCAACCACCCAGGGATCGAATTGTGCACAGGAGACCCACCCTACCCAGATAAATACCCCACTGGCAGACTTCCACTCTCGACACTACTTCCACTACCCAGCCGTCGCCACACTCCAGGACGCTTTCCGGACACATCATAAGACACTAAATACCCGTCTTCTGGAATTGTCATACCATATTTGATAGGGTTAAAATATGGTAACACCTACAAGGGTGATTAGAGGTCACCCCAAAAGCCTCTATACCTCTCGGAAAGACTGGCAAGCTACCGAGAGTATTCCGCCCGCATGGAAGAGCCTGGCAAGCTATCCGCTGTGTATTCGATATGCCAAAACCAGTAACTACAACTGGTCTCATTCACCTGACCCTGAAGGCTTCACCGACATGGCAGCACTGAGAAGGATGAGAAAGGAGAGGCCGACAAAATCTCAAGGCCGACCTAGGCTGCCACAACGAAGGAAGACAAAAATGATCGTCTGTACTTTCAATGCACGTACGCTAGCATCAGATGCATCCATCGAGGACCTGATGGTACAAGCGCGAATGATCAAGTACGACATCATTGGTCTGACCGAGACAAGAAGGCACGAATCTCACCATGCCGTTTTCGACACTGGAGATGGGATGTCTAGGGAGGAAATTTACCAAGCAAGACTTAAAAGTAATAACCTGGCCCGATGGTCGTGACTTATCTTGAGCACATTTCCAATTTCTAAAAAGTCAGCTGGTCAACCAACCTATTCAACCACATGAGTGTTGATGAACATCATCCCATGAGAATGAGTGGCCTTCTTGATTTGGAGGGACAAGGAGCTTTCAGGATAAAAACCTAGCATTGGTCACTTTCACCCCAGGTCTCTCAGTCTTCAATAAAAAGCACACTGGAAAACATTTATGGTATCATGTTTATTTAAATAGTAATCTTAAAAAGGCTTTATACAAATCATATAAACACAGTTTGACATTGTTGTTTATTTTTTACATTGAATCACAGTAATAGCTCTCAAGTTCCCGTGATCTGGCTTAGCCAGCAAATGGTCCAATACCTTTAACTGCAAATCCTGGAAAAGTTAACTTTCTGTGGGACAGTTGAACTTTTCCCCTTGTTTACTTGCCACTCAGGCTCATTCCCCGGACTCTCATCCCTGTCAGCACCCCAGCCCCGCCTAAGAGAGAAAGCAGCCCTGTGGCGGTAGAAGGCCTGGTCCAACCGGGAGATCGCGAGGTAATGTGTCATTCAGTACAAGGCAAAAAAAGGAGATCAATACTGCGAGCTAGGTTTCCCAAGGGGAATGATGCAAGGAGATGGGTCAGCAAGCCTACCTGCAGACAGAGACAACAGAGGCGCCCAGGGGCCTGCTGGCCAAGTTCTAACAGGGCCTCGCTGGCTGTCCTCCTGTCTTCAGACAGACAAGCCTCCAGTGTTGGTGAGGTATTTACATTCGAGCCCTGGGGAGCCGGCTTTGTTCAGCACTCAAGGCCTCAACTCAGCCAAAGGTGAGAAGGGACTGGTGGGCTGTTGAGTTTACTTAACTCTTCTGTGAACTGCAGGCCAAAGGCAGGGCTGGTCTTTGGGGAATTAACAAATGGACCACTGGGCCTGAGAGGGCCAGGAGCCCTAGAGTAGGCGTTTGAACTTCTCTTCTTTTGCAGGCTACGTCTGGGAATTCCTAGAACTTGCCAGCTTCCTGAACACTGAGCTCCATGGAAGGTGAAGAGGGGGGGTGGGCTAATTAAAAATTGGCTTCTGCCACAGGCCCAGCCCAGGGGAGCCGGAAGCCAAGCCCTTGGGCTTGAACGAGCTTTCACGTCTAACTACCACTGAGCCAATGAGTGCCGAGATCAATGAGGACACTTGGGCCCTAGGTCAAAGTCACAAAAACACCACTGAGTCCCACGTGACCATTCACATACACGGTAGATACAGAGAACTCAAAGGCCCGCAAAGACACACACACATATGAATAAATAGCTGTCGGCTTGATAGCTCCCTCTGCCTACAAAACACTGTGACATTACCAGTTGAACTAGCATTTCCATAAGTTAACATTGAGAGGAACCAGCCGTCCGATTCTTCCTACCCCTTTCACCTGGGTATGAGACAAATGAAATTGCGGGTGACCGTAGCAGCAGAAATGGTCTGACAGTTTAACCACTGATACACAATAGGGCTGGGCATACTGGTGGGGTTTCAAACGTATTTCCAGCACACAGGCAATGCTTAGGCGTTACTAAGAGATGCAGATTTTGATGAGGACAGTTGTATCCTTCACACAGTTTTGTTCTATTCCTGATGCCTCCCCTTCTAGAGGAGTTGAGAGTCACCGAGGGCTATGACTACCACTGGGGGGGTCATTCCATTAGTAGGATCAGCGGTGAGTTTTGGGAATTGGCAAAGGAGCCACTGGGGGTTGGGGAGGAGGAATGCCTTAACTTGGAGGATAATCACTGATTTCTACATAGAAATACACCTTTCTTCATGTTTTCAAGGCACTTAATAAAAACACAGAAACTGGTGTGTGTATGTGTAAGAAGCAGGTCTCTGATGGCGAACTGGTGTGTTAGTGTTTGGATTCAGAGTGTTCACAGACTTCTACAAGGACTCACATACATCCCAGCTGACACCCCTGAAAGGTTGTGACCCCGGGGAGAACTCCATGTGTACTGGTGGATTCAGCTTCATCTTTGCCATTACACGATCACAGTGGTTGGACATCTCTGCCCTTCTCCTCTATCCTCTGTATCTAGTTTACAGATAGAAAAAAACATACCCAGAGCTTTATTTCCACACCTAATCTCTGAGACTAGCAAACAAGGTAATTTCCTACCGAGCTTAGAGACCTGACAAATGTGCATATGTGTGTGTGTGTGTGTGTGTGTGTGTATGTGAGCATATGTGCATACGCATGACTGTGTGTATGTGTGCATCTGTATATTTGCATGCCTGTGGGTATGCAGGTGTGTGGATGGATGCATGTTTATCTACGTGCCTATGTGTACATGTACGCCTGTGTGTGTATGTATTTTAGAAGAATAAGGGGCAGGGAAAGAGCAAAAGAAAAACCAGACCAGAAGCCCCACACAGTAGCTGCACAGCCACAAATTCTGGGACTTGAGTTTGTGGATGGCTCCTATTCACAAAGCATGTTAAGGCTTGTCCTCTTCTGACATGGAGGTGCTTCTATGCGTTTTATTGTGACCTTTGACATCTGTCACAGATAAGAAAGAGCTGTTCGTGCTGACCCTAAAATGGCAATTTTCCCCTGGATAAAAAAAGTTAAAGGCAACAACATCCTACGTAAATGCTAGGACTGGAAGCGGCAGCTTGTAGGCTGGGCTGGCAGAGCCGAGGAAGAGGCGGTGGCGAGTGAGTCTCGTCTCTCCTCAGAAGATCAGAAGGCAGAGAACGGAATACACCGCGAGGCTTTTTTTTTTTTGTCTGTGTCTTGTTTTGTTTCAATGTTTTCATTGTTTAATCCAAAGATGAAAAGTCTGAAAAGACTCTTTTTTTTTCAAGTATTGATGAGAAAGAGAAAGTGGAGATGAACAGTCAGCGCTCTGCTTCTGTCCTGGAAATGACCTTCCCTTCTGCCTCTCTGAGTCGCTCACAGACGAAGAAATAAAAGATACAGTAACAACAGACTCACCAAGGAAATAGAACTGTGACTCCCAAAGAGATAAGCTCCCGCCTTTGTCCCAGTGATGACCTGGCCACTGTGGTTTGATTCCGACTGTGGAGGGCAGAAACCCTCTCCCCCACCCCCCCACGCGGTGGTCTCGTCCCTCCTCCCTCTGCTCACTTGCTGTCCTGTCCTCACCTGGGGTGATTCTGGATCCGTTTGATCGAGATTATGGCATTCAGTTTCCAAAGGAAAAGAAAGTGTAATCTTCACTAGCCCCTCTTGCTGGAATGAAACGTCAGATGTGATTTGAGTGTCATCTGTCAGGCTTCTGAGCAGCACTTCTGGTGGTTCATCTTGACCTTGTGCTTGAGGCCGTCGTAGAGCTCAAAGTTGTAGTTCTCCAGGGTGGTGCAGCTGCGGGAGCTGAGGCCCGAGTAGGAGCAGGTGCAGTAGAGCAGGAGCCCGGCACACGTGGCCCCCAACAGGACTCCCAGCGAGCTCATGGCGATGATGGTGATGAGGATGGGGTCCAGCGTGTAGAGCCAACTCTTCTCCTTGTCAGTGGAAGGGGCACCAGCTCCTGAAGTCGGGGCCGACGTGTTGCTCCAGTCTACCTCGTATTCAGCTAGGACACAAAGCACAAGGGAAGGGGTGGGTGTTAGGGTGATACTTCTCTGAGGCACTGAGTCCAAAGCAGTCCAGTGCAGGAGATCTCTGCAAAGTGGAGGGCAGGGTGCAGAGCTCTGGAAAGACAGTGCCTGCTAAAGCTTTGCTCAGCACCCTGGGGAAAATCGGTCCACCTCTTTGCCTGAGTTCTTGAATATGAGAAACAGGCATGCTAATAAAATCAAGTTCATGGATGGCAAGGAGTAGGCTACATGAATTTAGTATTTGTAAAATGCTTGATGTCAAGCAATATATATATTATATATAATATGTATATTATATATGTGTGTGTGTCTTACATTTTGTATTAGATATTTGATATTGAAATACTTTGGTTCATTGGGAATATAACAGTAAGACAATTTCTGGGAGCCTTTGGAGCACCGAAGGAGGTGCTGTGCTGCAGACACACCCTTTCTTGGATGCCTCATTCCGTTTCCAATTGCTTCGAGTTAAATCGAAAGCAAGGCTGGAACTATTTTCATGTGACCAACTTCTCAATTTAGCATCCTGCTCAACTAGCCAAGCAGCAGATGTTTCTGGATTCACCAGACTTCATTCTGTCCAGCTCTTGCCCTCACCATTAGGGTTGGAGGGTGCCCACCATCCAGCTCAACACTGCCCTGGATTTACATGCAGAAGCTCTGGTCCCCAGAGTGTTGGCATGGGGCTTTGTTTAGAGATAGGCTCTTTCCAGAAGGAATCAAGTTTGAATGAGGTCGATAGGGCAGGCCCTGAGCCAATAGGGCTGGTGTCCTTATGAAAGGGGAGCTTAGACAGACCCAGATGTTGCATGTCATGCGAACATGGAGATGGCCAAGGGGAGAGGCTTGCAACAGAGACTTTCTTCATTATCCTCGAAAGGAATCAAGCCTCTGATACTTTGGTCCTGGACTTTTAGCCTCCAGAATATTGAGCCAATTAATTTCTGTTGTTTAAGCCACCTCATTTATGGAACTTTGTTATGGCAACCAGAGTAAAATAATGGCATCTCTACTGTGGATTCAAAGCTGGATCATCTCTATAGCTCTTCTTCCCCCACCCACCCCCCTTCCACCTCCCCCTCCCCCCACATACTTTTTCCCTCTCTCATTTAAAAAAATTGGGAGGAGTTATTTTTTTTTGGCCACACCTACGATGCTCAGGGGTTACACCTGGGACTCAGGAAGCACACCTGGTGGAGCTTGGGAGACCACATTGGATATTGGAGATTGAATGCAGGTCAGCTGCATGCAAGGCAAGAACCCTGTGTACTATCATGACAACTGCTCATAGTTTTTAATATGGGAAGAAACAGGTTTAAAGAAATTAGGTGACCAGATAATCACTCAAGGTTCTAGAGTTCACCAGCAGTGAAGCCAGCGATAGGAATCAATCTTTGTGTATCCTCATCCCTTGCTATTTCTACTCCACATAGCACTTCTGTCATTTGATCTATTGCAGCTTTTCTGTGGAGGCCAGTAGTGCAGCTTTGCCCATAAAAGGAGCATTCGAGTGTGCTTTTCAGGGAGAGTCTGCATTCAGTTAACAAGGTGCTGTTTGGGTTAGTCACTCTGTTTCTATAATGACACTTGAAATGTTTGATTAAGATCGGGTTAAAAGCAGCTGCTCTATAAACGATTCTTCTTTACTCCATCAATCTTGGTTTAAAGCTGTTCTTTGAGCTGAACCTTGCTGTTGGGTCTCTCAGAGATCAACCCTGCCCCTTGGGAAGTCTAGAGAGACCTGTCCTGCTCTGAGGTCGGGGAAGAAATTACATCTGCCTGCTTGCTCAAGCAGCCCTCCAGTCAGGACTTTTGCGATGTCCTCTTAAAGTATGTGTATTTGTTTGATGTGGGAGAAGAGAAATTAGAACAAATATGCAAACATGAGATAGGCAGTGGGGAAAAGAAACCTAAGTCTTGCCCCAGCTTGGAGTCTTGGGTAGTGTGAGAAGATCTGCTGAGGCAGGGAACCACAGTGACCAAGGGAACTGGAAACCACAGCAGGCTTGGGAGAATATTGCCCTTGAGGTTCACTTGCTCAGGCTCTCTATGGAAGGAGGTCAACGGGGTTCAACTACATACAGAGGAACCCAACTGTCACTTCTAAAGGGCTTATCCAGATTTGAAGTCCATCAATGTTGAAAGCTGCTCAAATTGGGGAAACTGTTTCAGATTATAGGCAGAGGCAACTCAATAAGCTTTCTAAATCTCTAAATTTGACGCTAACAGAGCAGTTGGTGGTTACTCCCTTCCTCTCCGGATTCTTTGCATTTGTATTTCTCACTAGAGTTATAAATTTTGGCCTCCTAACGCACTGGGCATTCTTTTTTGTTGATGTCTTTATAACCCAACTTGAATTCCATGATTATTTGCTAAAATCATAGCAATACTCACCATCAATGTCATCGTCATAGCCCTCTCTCCCGTGTATTTCTGGGATGTCTACTGCAATGCAAAAGAAAAACAAATCTGAGTTATAAAAAATTGTATCACAATGGGGAAAATTCAGAGAGGTCACCTTTCTGAGGATGAGGTCCAAAACATGGTAGGAAGTTAAAACACCACATCAACTTCTGGATCATTTGGTGTATAGCTAAGTGGGTCCTTACTCCTTCAAATGATTTATCTCTACTTCCAACAACCAGGAGAACAGAAGCAGTAATAAAGGCCTTTAGCATCAAGTAAATCCTCACTTGGTTCTTCCTAGTGACTTGTTTATTACCAGCAGAGGCCAGAGTTTCACCTAACAAACATCAATGGCATCTTCAAACCATTCCCAGTTGCCATCACCATGATACTCAGTGTGATATACTGCTCCACATCCATATGCACACATCTATGTAGCACTGTAGCACTGTTGTCTGTTGTTCATCGATTTGCTCGAGTAGGCACCAGTAACGTCTCCATTGTGAAACTTGTTGTTACTGTTTTTGGCATATTGGATACGCCACACAGAGAGCTTACTATGCTCTACCATGCAGGTGGGAAACTCTTGGTAGCTTGCCAGGCTCTTCGAGAGGAACGAAGGAATCAAACCCAGGTCGGCCACATGCAAGGCAAATGTCCTACCCGCTGTGCTATCATTCCATCCCCACACATCTATGTACAAGAGTTATTTTTTCCCTTGGATTTCAAATAAATGGAAGTTTAGGAAAGTAATGTCTCATTAATGCATGTTTCAATGTAGAAACAGAAGTGGAAAGAGTGTCATAATGCCTGTCCACCTCCATGCATCTGTGCTCATATCACTTTTCCTTCTCTATTTTTCCTATTGGCTTTATACCAGTTAAGCTAATGCACTGGCAACCAATCTGACTAGCCCAGACTTGAACACAGCTAAGTTAATTTACTCTGAATTTTCTCTAGTATTATCATTGCCCACCTTTTTCTCTTTTTTATGATAATTTTGGGGAAAGGAAGATCTTGATTCACAATGCTGTCCATATTACAGATAGAAGAGCCAATGAAAATGACCTGTATATCTCAAATATGTGGTGAAGAGCAAAGTCTTATCATTTCTTCCTGTCTCACAAATTATTCCTCTCCTGACTTGCAGACAGCAAGATGGCACCAAAGAAGGTATGTAGCCTGTTAGGAATTTCATTCAATCCTGAACTCAGGTGAACAACTTTAACATCAGTGTCATAAATGGTATCCACAAATCAAGGCTGTAAACAAACTCCTCAAATTCCAAAGTGCTAAAATGTCAAACAAGAGTGAAAAAAAGAAACTAACTTTGGGTAGCCAGAACTTCTCCCTCATCAACACAACTTCTCAGGGAAGATGATGGACATCAACATGACCTAAATTAAAGATTGATCCAGCATGGCCACCCTTGAAATTCAGTTTCTTTTTCTAGAGGCAGTGATGTTAATCATGTTAGAAATCATCCTCATTCCCAGTCAAAATGCTTTTATTTATTTTAAATGTTGTTAAAGCACAATCATTTACAAAGTTATTCACAGCTGAGTTTTAGACATACAATGTCTCAGCACTGATCCCCTCCCATCCCCTTGGTCCCTGGGAAGGGATATACAAAACAAGTTGTCAAGTCACCCCTTCCTTGCCCCCTTGAAAGACTGATGTTAGCTTGAACGGATCCTCCTTAAATCCAGCCTTTTCTTGGCATGTTTATGACACAGCAAATGGTGCCTGCAGGCCATGCCAGTTCCTCCACATCAATGCCCCCACCTTGTATTATTCTCTAGGCCATACAAGGCAGGCTGCTGCCTTGGAAAGATGACAAGAATCCACAAAAGGCAGGTGGTGTCTGCTCTAGGGATCAGATTGAGCTTGGCAAAGTCAATGTAGAGCTTTAGTTTAACTTTATGAAAACAAACAAACAAACATGGAGAAAACTATGACGTTTCCAACAATTAATGGCTTTGATGGGATGCGCCTACGTCTTAACACCTTCATGGTTAAAAGATGCAGAACACTGGAAAAAGAATATGTGAGTCAGCGTAGGGTGAAAAGAGTGGGGCTTCCGCCAGTGGATTTGGAGCCAAATTCTGTTTTTGCTTTTAGGGATTCAGTTTCTGCCAAGAATGTGACAAATTCTTGGAGTTAGAATGCCATCTTGCTCCATCTTACACCCTTAGGGAAGAGCACTCAGACACTAGTGATCATGGCTGGAAAGGGGTGGATGTGGCATTGATCTTGAAAGGCAAAAAAAAAAAAAGGATGACAATGACAACAGGGACATTTTTGTCTCAGGAGGCAGGAGACTGGAATACAGTGACCTCGAAGAACTGATCCATTCTGAAGTTCTATGAAATTCATCACCCAGATGTGGCTGAAATTATAGCACCTGGAGAATCAAAGGCTCCTTATGGTGAAGATGCACACTTTAGAGCTTGGCTAGACTTTCTGTAGAATCCTGGCTCCCAGGAGTTGGGGTGAGTGGGAAGGATTTGAAAAAAAAGGAGAAGTTAATCAACATTTTCCAAAGTGCATCTGTTCACCAAGCCTTAAAAAAAAGAAAGGCACGCATACCAGGGAAAACCCAAAGGAAGGGAACACTTGCACAAAGAGTAATCTACTTTAGTAGCAATTTTCTCTGGCCTTCTGCTAATATTCTTGTTATCTGAGTCTAATTCAGAGTTTGCTTTTCCAAAAGAGCTGGTCCTTTGCAGGGCACTTTCCTTTCCTTTTTGGCCGGGCCTGTTAGCCCTGCATGAGCCTGTTTCCTGGAACACTGTCAGGAGGATGGGAGGTTCTCCCACCTGTAGTTCTAGCTAAGAGAAGTCAAAGGTGGCAGAGGAGCTATGACAGGGAGAAAGGAGGACTGAGTCAGCTTGTCCTAGGAAAGCGAAGCCAAAGTCACAACCTGGAGACCCAGCTGGAGAATCAAGGCAACAAGCAAAAGAAACGACGAATGGGGACTTGGAACTTTGGTTTTCATTTTGTTTTTCAATGAGGAAAATCTTGAAAGGGGGGCATTCCAGGACTCTGTGTCAGAGGGTGGAAGTGTTGGTAAAGGTGAGAGGGCTGAGGAGCAGGGAAGGAGCCATGCCTCTAGCACAGGTCAAGAACATCTCACAAGCTTTCCACGCCCAGCCTTTGTGCCCACATTCCCTCTGGGCCCCAGGTGGCCTTGCTCTCAAGCATTCTGATGGCAGAGCCTGAATCTGTCTCTCAGATTTCTCCCCAGCTGGACCAGCCAGAGGAGAGTTCATGGCCCCCAGACCCACTCCCTGGGAATAGAGGGGTTAAGTACTGCAACTTCCACCCCTACCGGCACTATCCCATTCTAGTAGAAAAAAGGGTGCCCTTGACTGGGGTCCTAGGGACCTGGATACACACTGTGGTTGCTTGCCAACAGGCAACAAACCTTCATGAGAGCTTTAAAGAACACATGAACATGAAGATGGGGCAATCTGAAATTTGAGGGCTTTGTATTTGCCATGGTAAGCCTGACCTCAAGAGTCGAAAGACTGATGTTGTCTGTTCGGTCACTGTCACTGTCCTCCTGTTGTTCATTGATTTGCTCGAGCGGGCCCAGTAACGTCTCCATCGTAAGACTTGTTGTTACTGTGTCTGGCATATTGAATATGTCACGGGTAGCTTGTCAGGCTTTGCCGTGTGGGCGAGATACTCTCAGTAGCTTGCCGGGCTCTCCGAGAGTGGAGGAGGAATCGAACTGGTTGGTTGCGTGCAAGGCAAATGCTCTACCCGCTGTGCTATGGCTCCAGCCCCTGTCTGTTCGGTACAGGATAAAATTCGTGAGCCAACTCACCCACTGATTGACCAAACTCCACTTAGGAAGATTTCTTGGGTGCCCAAAAATCATTCCAAGGGTGCTGTGAGGGGCCAGGGGACCATAATCAGAGTTTGGGAACCCTTCAGAGGTTGGGAAGACCCAAGCCAGAATGGTATGAAACCATGGTGGGGCATTGTAGGGGACACTCTGGGTTGGCAGATTCCAGGGATGTGGCAAAGGAAATGGGTCAGTGCCAAAAAGAGAGGAGCACGGGAGGACAAGAGCGGAGACTGACACAAGGTGTGTGTGTGTGTGTGTGTGTGTGTGTGTGTGTGTGTGTGTTTGGGGTGGGGGTAGTCCTAGCCTCTTTATCAATGTGACTGATACAAGTGCTTCCCAACAGGGAACCTCTTTCCGCAGACACTGATCTCTAGGTTTCACCTTGAATTCATTTTTTAATCAGCTCCACCAAGGAATTCATAGAGATTGCCTTGCCTCACCACAAATCTTCCCTACTTGAGCATCAGTCTTCACCAGCTGCTGCAGAGCCACAAATTGAGAGAGAGTAGCAGACACCCTGTGAGTTAAGAAGTTTGCAGCCTCCAAGGAGCAGAGAAGGCACTACTTAAAAAAAAAAATGCAGCAAACACCGCCTCTGCTCCCAAGTTCTGCAGAACCAGTTCGTGTTCAAGTAGAGGTTGAAGTCCCTGCTGGGTAGGGCGGGGCTCTCTGCCATTTCTCCCATGACCCTGATTCTGCAGAGCAGGAGCCCACTTAGAATCCCCTGGTTGGGGAGTTGTAGGAACTCCTACAGCCCTGCCCAGCCAAGCCCAGCTGCAGCCTGTCAGGGGCGGGGGGGGGGGGGGGGGGGGGCTTGCAACAGCATAGGGTGGTGTGGCCCGCACTATCGAACTCCCTCCAGGGAGCAGCAACTCCGGGGGTCTGGCACACTGCCTGGCGGGGTAAGACCACACATGCTCTGCAGGGAAACACCCTCTAATGCCCCACCTGCACCAGGAAATTCCCTGCTGAGCGGGGTTTAGGGCTCTCTCTCCTCCCCACCTCCCCCTTGCTCTCCCAAGCAGACAGGCTCTCCTTATCTCTCCTCTATCCCTTACCTTTCTCCTGCACCCTTGAAACACCCTTTGGGGTTAGTGTGCTTTCCTGCCCTTGCTCCCAGGGCTACGGTGACCTTCATTTTCCCCACTTCTGCTCCACGTGTGAGCATCAGCGGGACACTGCC